TCACACTGCTACTAGACAGTATCATCAAGAGTGACATTCATTGCTGACATCATGCAGCCATCAAGCCAAAAACACATTTTGCCTGTCACACCAATGAGCAATCTTATACATCAAATTTAGTGCCAGTGTGGCGCTAAGTATTTGGGCTATACATCCCATAGATTGGCGGATCATATTAAACTGCATGTCCCTGCACTGTGCAACAGCAACTATTGAATAATACTGACCAAACCCAACCTTCCTGTGTTTGAAAAGCTCTTGTGTCCAACATTTGATTCTGATTCTGTGATTGGGCATTTGGTAAATAATCCAGTTTGTGCTGAGATGTACACTGGCACCCAGTTTCTGGTTGTCAGTTGGGCTCATGGTGTTGTGCTAAACTGGAGTGTACTAGAAGATATGTATGTTTAACATACAGCACTATTAATTACATCCAGAATATGTGCCCAATTCAACTGAACAAAATAGGCGACAGCCATTCTCCGGTTCATTTCTCAGACCAATCAGAGTTCAACTGATAGTAGGAACTGCCGATGCTGGAGAATCTGAGAAACAAGGTTTAGAGCTGGATGAACACAGCAGGCCAAGCAGCATCAGGGTCCAGACCCGAAACGTCAGCTTTCCTGCTCCTCTGATGCTGCTTGGCTTGCTGTGTTCATCCAGCTCTACACCTTGTTATCTCGGAGTTTAACTGCCTGGTTTACAATTACACAAACTTAGCAGTTAACTATCTGTTATCATCTCACTGGTTCATTCACTATAGCAATGCTTCCACTAAAGAGAGTCCACTTGCCACCAGTACACGCACTTTTTAAAATTCATTACAGTACAAAAATGTTGTTCCTTTATTTTGGTATATGTGAATATATCCTGATGGTTTCACGATGAAAAGCTGTAACAAAAGTGTTTTGTGTCACAATACTCAACAAGTCAGTTGTTCAAAAGCAAACTTAATATAGAGTACAGATCCTTTAGCTCAAAGTAATAAAGCCTAACAAAAGAGCTCACTAGTACTGGGTGTTTCACACACTTATAACACAAGTGTCTGAGCTCTATTGCTGGTGGTTACTTGGAATTTGTGTGTCTTTTCTCGACATGTTACAAGATCTCCACTCACCATTTCAAGCACCTGTAGTTTTAGCACTTTAAAAATTAAAATCCTGTATTTGTCCTTCTCTGCTTTCCTCACCTAGCAATTGTAAAATCAGAGGCATTATTCTCCGCCATGAGTTTTGTGTAATATGCCTATCAATGATGCAATGGTTGGTCGTGTTTAAATTATTCACAGGATTTTTGGGAGGAGCGTGAATTTCTATGTGTGCATCAAATATGCCTTGGACCCTTGAAGCCATGAATTAGAAAGCTCAAAGTAATTTTCTTGCTGTTGCTTGTGGGTGTTCACTTCTGCCATACATGCTGTTATGGTACCTCAAGAGACAGGGCTTCAATTTCATGAAGAGGATGGCTCTGCTCTGCACCATCCCATGCATCGGGACACCCAGGTCGCTGTTTGGGGAACTTCTTTCCACACCGGAGCCATGAATAGCTATTCCTTGCTTGCAGACTTTAACTGGTGCACATCTGTTCTTTAAATATAGTGTCAGCAGCTTTAGCACTTGCGCCTTGGTGAACCCAAGATAAGTGTGAGTGGTGCCTTGGAGTTGTAGTGCATGGTAGAGGTCACAGATTTTGATGCTGTTGAAGGAGGCTTGGTAAGTTACTGCAGTGCATGTTGTAGATGGTACAGACTGCTGCCACTGTGCACCACTGGTGATGGAGTCAACGTTGAAGGTGGTGGATGGGTGCCAATCAAGTGAACTGCTTTGTTGTCAATAGTGTCAAACTTCTTGAATGTTGTTGGAGCTACATTCATCCAGGTACACGAAGAGTATTCTATCAGCTAGTGCCCCTTAATAACGTTTGCATCACATGCTACCTTGGTGTTAAGAGGAGTGTCTCCCGCCTCACTTCTGGAGTTCAGCTTTTTTGCCCACGTTCAGACCAAGGCCCTGGTAGATATTCCACTGTAAGTGCTGTTTGGTAGCCATGTTACTGACCTTTTACATCACTTTGATGGAGGCAATTGGCTGGGCTGGAATTGTCCTGCTTTGTTTGTGCACATGATGTACTAGGGCCGTTTTCCATATTGTTGGGTAGATGCCAATTTTGGAGTCTTAAAGATGCATGGAGCATTTACAGCATGAAAGGGGGCCACGTCTCATTGAGTCCAAGCTGGTCATCAAGCATCCATCTGTTCTAGTCCTGTTTTCCATCACTTGGCCCTTAGCTGTGAATGCTATGTCATTCCAATTTTTCATCTAAATAGCACTTAAATGTCTTGACAGGTTTTGCTTCTTCCAACCTTTCAGACAATGACTTCCAGACACCTAACCCTCTGGGTGAAAAATATTTTCCTCAATTCCTTTTAAACATTTTGCTCCTTACCGTAAAACTATGCTTCCCGATTAGTGACCTCTTTACAAAGGGATAACGTTTGTGCCTATGTTTCCTGTCAATGCCCTCAGCATTTCATACACCTCAAATATATTCCCCCCCCCTCAGCCTTCTCTACTCTGAGAAAAACAACCCCAGCCTAACTACTGACTCTTAATAGCTGAATCATTCTGGGCTGGGCAGCAAGCTAGTGAACCTCTTCTGGACCTTCTCTAGTGCAATCACATTCTCTCTGTCGTGTGGCAACTAGAACTTACACAGTACCCCAGCTGTGGCCTAACCACATACCTTGACTAATGAAGGCAAGTATCTCATACGCTGCCTTAACCACTTTATCTATGTGTCCTGCTGCCTTCAAGGATCTATGGATTTAAACACAAAGGTGTCCCTCTGATCCTCTGTACTTCCAGTTTTGATCCAAATTGCCTTGGATCCCTCATGCCAAACTCACCAAACTAATAACTGTCAGAAAAACTCAAAATGGAAACCAGAGTGGGTTCTTTACGTGTTCAACTTGCCACCTTCCCCATTTTGTGCATGGCTAAAATACAGAGCAGGGCACGAGCCATGAGCAGCAGTCACATGTATCATCCACCATGGACATTGGCACCAGATGTTCGCCACCATCTTGGTATTCTTCATTGCAAGTATAGTGTGCTCTGCAAGGCCAGGCACGTCTAGCAGGACCCATTGGCAGCCAGCAGTACCTAACTACATCGAGTACAGGTACCACGCAGAGACAGGCACCTATGCTGAGTTGTGCAATGGTGTTCAGTCAAAGGCATGTACATTTATTGTATGCCAGTGTGCCACATTACTCTAGCATCTGTAGTCAGTTTAGCAGGAGCGACTCGAGGCATCGGGGTGGAGGAGCCTGGATCCAGGCCTATGACTCTGCTAGAAATGGGAGCTGTTCCAAAGCCCACCTCGCTTTATTGAGATAAGACTGTAAAATGAACTTTATTGCTTTATTTTTCTGGCTTTACATTCTGTGTTTAAGACAGCTCCACGAAACAACACTTTTCACTGTATTTGCACAAATAAATATGCGTAACAATGAATCAAATCAGATCATAGGATCCATACAGTGTTGAAGCAGACCATTCTGCCCATCAGGTACACACAGCCCCTCTGAAGAGCATCCCACCCAGACCCGCCACCCTACCCTATAACCCTGCATTTCCCATTGTTAACCCACCTAACCTGCACATCTTTGGCCTGTGGGAGGATACCGGAACACCCAGAGAAAACCCATGCAGACATGGGGAGAATATGCAAACTCCACGTAGGTAGTCACCTGAGGCTGGGATTGAACCCAGGTCCATGGTGTTGTGAGGCAGCAGTGCTAACCACTGACCTACCATGCCACCCAAAAGCGCGTGTCAAACAGACTGCATCCACAGCAAGCAGTGGGACATGTCTGAAAGTTCCAGAGAACCAGTCCACTGCCTAGTCTATGGAGGCCCTGTCAGTCAGGGAGACCCAGCATGGCCAGTCAAGGGTAGCCTTCCATACCAGTCCCAGGTGTCAGCCACAGTCAGGTGTCCAATCAGAGTGGCTCTGCACAGGGGGTGCCAGCCTGTGTTCCAGGGAGTAGGTCACGGTCAGACCAATAGGGGCCAGTCTAGGGGAAGATATGCCGATATCCAAAATGGCACTACTTGTATCAAATCACCATAGCACACAGATTTATGTCATGACCTACCTTCTCTGTGTAGCTCTTGTGGGCATTCACTCCCTGGTATGTGCCCAATCTAATGGCCCCAGCAGTTAGACACCAAGCACAGTTGATCCCCCAAGTATACACACATGATGTGCAAACACCATTTTCAAACAGTAAGGGGACATGTAACACCAAAAAAGCATCCACAGAGTAATGCTAATTTCTCACCCAATGCATTTAGTTTGTCCTAATTTTGTAGTTTGTATAGATAACCATTGCTAACATTGTAAACTAGTTCCTAAATATCCTTTCACTGCCTTCTCAACAGAAATATAATTTAAGGATGAACTTACTGGCTTTTTAAAAAAATATTTGTTCTTGCCTACAGCATTGACAAGAGCAACATGCCCATCCTTAATTGCCCTTAAGAACGTAGTGGTAAGCCTTTGTCTTGAACCACTGTTGTCCTTTTGGTATAGGTACATCTAGAGTGCTGTTAAGGAAAGAGTTCCAGGACTTGTCCCAGTTACAGTGAAGCAACAACAGTATATTTCCACGTCACCACTGTGAATTTGTTGGAACTGCTGGTGCCTGCTGTCCTTGTTCTTCCAATTGTTAGAGCTTTTGTGGGTTTGGAAGGTGCCGTCTAAACAAAAATCTCTATAGCCTAAAAATAAATAATTAACTGTCTGAAGGCACTGTGCACTTGTAAGATTTATTATAATTGGGGTTATAATGAAATTCTTGAATATTGTATGAATACATTTCTCAAATCAAACTAAGGAATCTTAATTGTTCTAAAACTGAAGCCAAGAATGTCAGAGAACATTTAATGTTCAATTGAATCAGTTTTTAAGCTTACTTCCATTGTGTATTTCAATAGGCTTCAATGACTGAGAATAACATACCTCTATACACTACTGCTTCCATGGGAAATCCCACTGTAGCCACCATGGTGGGTGCTATTCATGAGGAGCTAAATGGTGCAGTGGAGCATTCAAATAGCAATGAAAGTGACAGCAGTCCAGGACGTTCTCCGTTGCAAACAATGTGAGTAATGAAGCATTGCTTTCTGGTTTCGTCTTTGCCTTAATTGTGTTTTTCAATAATTTTCTCTGCAATGGTCATAATTGTGGAATGTCTAGGCTTTGCTGTGAAGAACTGAAGAATTGTGGGGAGCCATTTTCTCCCAATGACCATATGCTACCCTTCATCCCTTCTTGGCACAGAATCAAAATTTCAAGGTATTAAATGTTCAAGTCTTTGTCACTGCCCCTCAGAGTTTTGTTGATATTTGTGCAAAGGTTCTTAACTGAACACTGATCCTTAGTATTTGAGTGTGCCCATGTTAAGGCATCTAGGCAATGCTGCGCCTACCAAATGACTCAGCATCTGTTTCTCTCTCCACAGATGCTGCCAGCGTTCTGAGTATCACCAGGTTTTTCTGCTTTGACTCAGCATTTGACTAGGAGTATATATGTCTGCGTGGCTCAGCTAAAACCAGATGTTTATTTACAGTTTCCTTCCATTGCCTGTTGAAAGTGTTGAACACTTGAGAAAACTGCCTCAGCTACTTCACCTAAGTAACTATTTCCACGTGTCGACTGGATGCGAATGGCATCGTAGTTGAACTAGTCATATTTTCACTTGACATCCACACACTTGTGCTTTTCAGCGGAGTTCACACCATAGTAATTAGGATTGGGAATGCCAGTTTTTTTTTCCCCGTACTGCAGAGGTACTGAGGTCAGTTTTAACACCACCAAGGCTGCCATGCTTTAAATTGTCTTAACGAGCCAGGAGCTTCTGATCATCTGGGTCAGTGCTATACTAGGCCATTGAAGAACTCAAACAGCGTTTATTGCTAAAGGTCACCCATTAAACTCTGTCAACCAGTCATAATAAATCTGATTTAAATAATATGGAAGATGCACTCTCATAAACTTAAATGATAGGTGCTTCAGTACTTATCAAAATTATTTTTCTCCAAACAGTGAATTTAGTGTTTGCCATTTTATTTGTAGTAGTGATTTAATAAAAATATATACTTGTAATTACTGTAAAAATGCTGGTCTCCAGTGATCAGACTCTTTTGACACTTTCACAATTATCTCAGATCTAAGTGCATGCCATTACTCAGAATCCTCATGTCTTGTGCTATAAGGCCTAGCCAGTGATGTTCTTAAAACTTGCCATTTCCTAGATTTTCTCTCGCTTGGGACGCCAAAGTCAATTTTTAATGTTATTTTTGGCGGACTCTCTTTAGTATAATTTTATATATTATGGTACATTGTTCTAAGTCTGCAACACTCTTCAAACAGGAGGCAATTATTTTGTCATCTCTATAGATTCCAGTCGTGGCTGCCTGTACCTATCTGTGAAACTCTGCAGGTCCAATCATTGTTTTCAGCTAATGAAGCAAATTTATTTTTCTGGCAGCAAGCTCATCAAGTCAGAAAGGTAGTCTCCTTAAAATTAGGCCTGTTTGAAACAATTGAGAACAGTTGTTATGTCTTGGAAAAGCAAAGTTCAGCTTTTCATACTTTGTCCTATGAATTCTTGACCTATGAGACCTCTTACAGTCTGAGTGACTCAATTCTTACTGCTGCAAGTGTGAATATCATAGGTCTTAAACTGGCAGAGCACTGGTATATTAGTGCATGAGTATTCACACTGATTAATGTGTTCTGTGGAAGTTTACCTAGGAAGCTTTGACAAAAGTTAAATCAGATTATTTACTAATTTTTGGCAGCTATCAATTTTAAAAAAAAATTTGTAAACTATGTTGCTGTGCAAGCACTTTTCTGAGTGCATCACTTAAAATCTAAAAACATTCTGAATGTATTTGCACACCCCCACCCTTTTGTTTTTCAATTTCTAGGTCCTGTTTCTGAGTTCAGGAGGATGGGTAGGAAATGTTGGCCCGATCACCACTGATGTGTCACATAAATGTCCACTAGAAAGTGTATTAATGCTGTTTGGCTGATAATTATTCCTTGCCATTTGTCAGGAAGGCCTTGACCTCCATTCACCAACTCCCCTGATAGTGTAACTGAGATCAGGAAGCCAGCATGTGGGGAACTTCCAAATACAAAACCATATCCTACCGCACCCTTGGCAAGGCCTGTTTGGTGTTCTAACGCACTGCACCACCCGATACAAAATGCTTTTAAAAAAAAACACACCTGTTGGTAGAAATAAACTCACCATATGTTAGTGCTGAAGTTGATATTTGCAAATGCTGTGAGGAAAGTTTTTTAGTTTTCTACAAAGGGCATCAGTATGAATGTTAAGTGATTTTTTTTTTGTCATTTCCTTACTGCAACTGTACTAACTAATAATGCAAAAACAAATTCACAGCATTTAGTGCCTTAGCTGGCTTTTAATCAAATTCCCTACTATCCGATATGAAATTTGTGCTGGATTTTAACTGTAGCAAGAACCACCAAAGAACACTTGATGGATTTTCAATTTTGTTATTCAAGTGATATAAATATAACTTTGTCCTGCTGACAATCAAATTGCTAACATCTATGCTATTTTCATTGCAACATTGCCTACCTTTGTTAAAAGACAGGTCAGATGACTAGCCCTGGTTATTGGTGCTATCATTCATTCATTGCCTATCAGTAATGCCTTTACTAGACATCATAATCTTGTGTCATTACAGCTGTGGTAGAACAATGAATGAATCTGTCAGTAAATGCAAGGAAACATTTTTTTCTTTATTAATCTCCTTCTTGATGTTGCTTGTAGGTGATCTCAGGATCAAATCCAGTTGGAAAAACCTCAGATTATTTTAAGCTGTACTGTAGAATTCTTTAAAAGGTGTCATGCTTCGAGCGGTAGTTACATAAACAAAATGTGTTGAACTTGACAGAAGATGAACAACTGTCGTGTTAGCACGTGCCACTCTGTAATGAGCACTTTATGTGGCAGTGTGCGTATGTATTCCACAGATACAGCCTGTGATCTTGTTGAAAAATAACCATTCAAACAAGGTTGAGTACACAAGTTCAAAAGCAGGATGATTAGATACAACATAGCCTACAGCAGAGCCTTTTTTTTCTCATTTATGATAAAACTTGGTTAGAGTACAATCCTTTGCATCATTTTGCATAGCAAATTGTATCAAACGATGTTGATAACAAAACAAGCACTGAAACAAAGGTGTTGAATAATTTTGCCTGTAGCCACTGTAAACCTAAAAGTTGTAATAAATTCTGCAGAATAAAATCACTGATTCACTTGCTTACATTATAAGCTTAAAATAATATGCTGCAGACAGCATCATTGCCAGACATTAATGGTGGCTCGTATGAAAGGCTACATGATTTATAGATCACTCTTAAAATATCAAAAGGAAAATTAATAGGAGCATTATAGTACCAGACGGCAGTATAATGAGCGCATATATAACAGTATGAAGTAATGGGAGACTGCTGTCCATGCTAAGTATGGATGGTGTTGAGGGCAGAATGCTGTAACAGGAAGGGTAAGGCAGGATGGGTGGGTGTGCAGTCCCTCTGGATGTTCAGTATTTATGGGGATTATTGAGCATATTCCCCTAGCTGACTCTGGAAAAATGTATCTAAATGTAATCTTTAAAACTGCCAGTATAAGAGGAAGTTTCCATGTATATAAGATTAGATTCTGTGATTAATTGGTGTTCGTTACATCGTATGCATCTGCTTTATATCCAATGTTTGGATCCCATGCAGAAATTAATCCGGTAACTACATTCAAATGTAAAATTAGTCTTTAATGATATTTTTGATACCAAGTTGAGTGATGATGTCCAGTATACAAAGCTTGGCTTTCTAAGGGGAATTGTTATACATACTGCAACTTGTTACCAGGCATTCAATATTGGTTAGCATTTTGCAGAAGCACTAGCTCTTTAAACTGTGTATATCTTGTTTACTGTGTCACATCTGGTATGTTGTGCATGAACGGTAGCTTAGATAAAATCAACATAGCTTTGTACCTAATGTGAAAACTACACAGGTGAACTGTTGTATGAAGAATATGAACACAGCAATCGTTATGTCAAACCGCTTGCTGGTGTTGCAGCACTCTTTAAAACCCCCCTCACATGCTGTTAAAAGCTTTGCATCCTTCTTCAAACACATCAGTAACAAAGTAGATATTGTCAATCGAGACATTTTCTCATTGTGGCTACAAACCACTGAAGCTTTTTGTTTTGTTTGAAATACTGGAAAGTACACTTGCAGTAGAATAATCACTGCTCCAGGATAGCACTTTCATCCTGATATGCTCCAAAGTTAGCTACAAAGCAAACAAGCACAGTATGCAATGGTGAAGCACAATATACAGGCTCCAAGCAGAATTTCATTGACAGTCATTGCCTTCTTAGACTGAAGAAATGAGTGAAAAATTACAGTGCAGAAAATAAGGGTTGGAAATATAGCTTGGGCAGGGCGATGATTACTACTCGAAATGAAGAACAGAAAAGTCCACGGGTAGTGGAAATTAGTCAACAAGCAGTGAAGGGAGGGAGACAAAGTCATCTACTTCAGCTTAAAAAAAACAATGAATGCCTTTAAAAAGTGAATTGTTTTGAAAGCAGCAAGGGCGTTCTCTGCTTTTCGACTTAACTTCCTGTTTCAGTGCATGATAGTTAAGCAAAAGAAACAAAATTATTTGACCATACTGTCTTTTTTTTAAAAAAATTCTGGTCACTCAGGAAGGCACTGTTTGCTCACTGGCATGTTTACATGAGCTTCCTGACAAAGCCACCCCAAAATCTGTTTGTGTTTCTGACTAGATTGTTGTGAATGTGATTTACACAGGATATTTTTCAATTGTTATCACTGTGGTTTCATAAAATCAACCCACATTCCCCCTATGGGTTATTCATGTGCTATTCAGTAATGAGAATTTGGCAGATCTCATCTCCTTAGTGCATCCCTTGCCCAGTCCAAGGGCTGGGATCATGTTCTGCCTTGTTTACAACTGACAGCATTATTATTCTCGTTAGGAATGCAGTTTCTTATCACACTGTTATGTTTAGCAGCCTTTTTCCCCTCAGCCTGTGTTTCCTGGCAGTGCTTTTCTTCCATTATTGACAGTTTGTAAAAATATGCATTAATTTGGAGTTTAAAACATGTATCATGGTGTCTAGTTGCTGTGTTTGGTTGAAGTTGATTAATGATAGAACCTCACTCAGGGTCATCCTCTAGAGAGAAGGCTCACAGGTACTGCATGTTAACTAGAGCAGCAGTACTCCGTGTTTAGTGATCAGCCTCCGCAAGGTGCTTGACAAACAGCTGCTTTGTTGTACTTATTTTCATTTAATTTATGTTTTCTGAATGTTGCAAAATATATTGCTCTCTGAGTTAAAGAATCCTAGTCAGGTACAAATATTTTTGTTTATTAGTTCATCAGCAGTTCGTTGGAACTCTTAGATTGAGTCAATAATCAGCATTATTTCCCAAATGCTGTGATGATTACTTTCCTAATCAGTTATAAAGTGCCTAAAATACATGCCCGTTTGTTGCTTTCTAACTGTAAAATGGCTTTGTTATAGGTATCCTATCCATGTTAAAGAGGAGCCAGTGGACCCAGAAGAAATGGAAGGGCCTCTGTCTTTAGTGACAACAGCAAATCATAGTCCAGAGCTTGACAATGACAGAGAATTTGAAGAGGACCCAGGCAATGAAGACATGGAATGAGCATGTTTCTCATCTTTCCCTGAGATGAAGATTCATATACGAAGAGAGCTCGTCAGATTTACCTGTGAAATCTCTCCATGATGTGGAAGTTTGGAGGAATTTTCAGCCCTTTTTGACAAAGTAATGAGATGTTTTAAATAACTTTTAGTGCCATTAAGAATCCCATTGGGGAATGTTTCTGATTTTTTTCTACTTTTTGTTGGAAAAATGGAATTTGTATTCTACATACATTGGATGGACTTGTTTGGTACTTGGGATTTTCCTCTCCTGAAGTCAACATCAGTGTTGAAAGTTACTGAACTGTACAGTCATACACACAGACTTTGCAGCAGATTTGGACTGCAGTCCTGCCAAGTTGGACTCATGGGTCTGATCAAAGCTGTTCATAGTTCAAACTGCAGGTAGAGCTCTTCCCAGAACTTGCATATTCAAATGGAAGACTGAGGCTAAAACTGATTTGCACAGTACTGGAAGTGGATTATTAAAATATCACTGCCTTTAATCCACACTTGTTTCCATGGGGCAGGGGAGAAGGGAAATAATTTGTGAAAAATAATTAACCGAAATTTTATTGTGACACTGTTTGCTTCTGCTGCACCCAAGCAGTTTTATAATCGTAGGCCACAGGCCTCTGGAGGACCTCATTAAGCTCTATGTTCAGCAGTAGTGGTTGAATGTTAAAGTCTTTTTTTAACCAATGGGACAAAATGCCTGACATCAGTTTGTAACATATGTGGTAGATTTTCTGTCATTCATTCCCCTTAACTTCATTGTTTTTTTTATATATAAAGAGAAATTAAACCTCAGACCAGCTTTTATTCTGCTTACTGATACTGCTTTATTTCATTTGCTTGCAGTCAGCAAACAACAGGCCCAACTTTTAATATCAACTGGCGGAATCAATGTTCCATGACTACAGAGAAAGGTTCACTTTTAGGAAAGCTGCAGAAATGAACCAGGGGACAGAATGACAGAAAAAAAAGATGATATTAGTAACTAGCCCTTGTCTCCTACATAACGCCATTGAATGATTCCTGTTTTTCAGGTTCAACAAGTAGTAAGGAGACACAGGAGTTGAGTTAAAGAAAGTAGAACATAAAAAATTTTGTCTGTATAAATAATAATTCACACTGCAGCAAAGCTTTTCAGTTAAGGTTTATGTCTAGTGCTGTGTTAAGTAGCTCTATAGGTAGAAATTTGTTATTTCAGCAAACTTAGAAAACTTCACAATAGATGACAAAATCGAAAGCAACGTCACTAGAGCTTACTTTGCGAGCTTATAGTGATCCTGAAGCAAACTTTACGTACAGAAAGTAATTCTGTTAATAGAAGTCATTGAATTATTTTCCAAAACACTCAACATCTTTGCTGTTTCAAGACTGCGACTTGGTCACTTTTCTGTCACTCCCCTCTCCCCCATTGTATTTATTTAGGACTATATAGTTTGGCAGTTGAAGAAGCTTTCAGAGCTTTATTTATTTTTACTTTTTTTTGAAACCAGATAAATTTTTCTGAGATTACCAAAGATGATCTAAAAGGTAAATTATATGTTCTCTGTTTGATGCTTTATCTGATGAAGCCAAATATCCTCTTATTGTTGATCAAAGGAGGTAGCAGAATCAAGAGGGGGAAATGGCTAAAAATGGAATGATGCACAGACAGTAACCTGTGATGTTTAAGTCTCCTTTTAACAATATCTGCAACAGGCCAGGTGGATGTTTGAACCAAAGGTATTATCTCTGAAAATTCAGCTTTCTCTTTCCTATAATGACCAAGTTTGCTCACTGTAGGAAGATATAATTGGAGACCAAACCAAGGACCGATATCACGGAGGCCACAAAAAAGGGAGCGTTCCATCAAGGGAAGGTGAATGTAGATCCTTTCTGTGCTGATAAGAGTAAGATGAAAAGGTGAAGATGCAAGATTCAAATGGTAATACAGAGAGAAAAGGAATAGCTTCCATGATGGAACTGGACCACGTATTAGTGTTTTAGGACAATGCTTGTTATGGAAGCTGTAACTGAAAGATGGTGTGCCACTTTTGTTTGGAGACCAATTTTCTTTATTGTGCCAAGATTACTTATTTTTGGTTTGCCTTGGCACACATCTTCAAATTTGTTCAGTTTTGTTCCCGCATTCTTCATGCAAAAGCACTCATAAGCTTGGTACAAGAGACATTACAGCAGTTTTTTTTAAGCTTAATCCAACTTTCTGTTAAATGGGCAGTCTGTGGTCTTTTGAAATATATATTTGTAATGGCATTCCAGGCAGCTTCATGAGGATGTGCAGGCAGTAGCTAAATGGGATCATGAGAAGAGATCCCATGATTTCAAACTGAGTGGCCTGTTGGTTAACTCTGTATTTGAGGGAATAGAAGATGGTTAGATTAGTACATTCTCAGCATGTGTAGCTAGACATGACTAAAGTTAACAGCATGAGAAACTGTTAGTACGCATACCTCAGTTCAAACTTTTAGGGAATGATGAATAAAACATTTCACTCAGTTGCACTTAGTTGTATGTCTTGCATGTTTAGTCTAAAGACTAGCAAAATTAGAGCTTGCATATCTAGCAGGTGCCACAGCCTTTCAGCAGAATCAACTCTGAACCTCAGGCTCTTTATGTACAGGATTTCAATGATTGAACATTGTCACCATATCCGTTTGGATATATGGTTGCTTCTAAAGGGTGGGGGTTTGTTACATTGTACGTAAATATCCCAATGTGTCGGTGCAAGCCTTTGTCTTTTTCTGTTTCTTTTTAAACACTGTTCTTTTAAAAACAAAAAATCTCTGTTAAATCACATTTGCTTTTGAGCAACTGCTTTGTATTGACTATATTAAAAGAAAGCTTTGAAAACTACTGTATGTATTGAAACTGCAAATGTTCTGCACATGTATTTTACTTATTAATCCTTGCTTTAAGAATAACAGAAGTTATTTGCTGACATTTGGGAGAAAATCCCTTTTTTTTTGCTTTAACTGTAGTACAGTTGACAGATTTTTAAGTTACCATTGAACGAAGCATTTTGTACAGTTTTGTTTGTGTTAGGCTGTTTTGATACTTCCCGCTTACAAAGGTCCAACCACTGCCCTCTGCAGCTGTCTTAAAAGTTTGAAGGATTTGGAGAAGACAATTTAAAAAGTCATTTCTTTTCCTGCTGTCGTGAATACTTAGCATGATGAATTCCAGGGCCAGTTGCAGTGAAGTAATGATTATTAAAACTGGGGAGTGTCAACCTGTTGAATATTTTTTTTAAATAAGAACTTTACAAGGTGCCAAGATGTAAAGATAATTTGTTACATGCTTTTTCTCTAAGAAAAGCGTACATTATCATGATCGAAGTACCATGATTCAGGTAACTTCAATGTCAGGAATGAGAGTCACAGCCTTCTATACTGTCAAAAGCCAGTGAATAAAAATCTGATTGTTTGTTAAAGGTTGTTTGGAAATGGTACAGATTGAGGACATTGTGTTATCATGGTGCTTTGAACGTTGTTGCTGCCAGTTAAGAGATTATTGTAGAGGCATACAGGAACTCATTCCTTACATCAGTGTAATCCATCATTCCATGTCTGTTGATGCAGACAATAAAAAAATTCATGTGTGTAGTCAGTACTAATTACTGACATTAGCATTCTCAAATGCAATAAAAATGCTGGTTGTTCACACCGTTTGCAGTGTTGTCTTTTTCAGGATGATGTTGATCTCTCCCAAGCCCAAAGTCGTTTTTCAGTATTGTTCCCATTTTCAACACACATCATTTAAAATTCCTGTGTAACAGATGAAATGGCTAGTTATCAAGCACTATTCTGACACTTTCCTGACCTAACTATAAAGATGACCAATACAAGTGCCAGTACTTAAACATTAAATTTTCCCGTAATTAATAATGGTGGTTAAACTGTCTCCTTGTAACAGCAATTTAGGTAACTGCATTTGATCAGCTATAAATTCTAACTGCATTAGAATTCTAGAAATATTAGTAATATGGATTTCTTGATGGAAATTATTGCTGATCACAAGTGGTTTGTTTTAACGACCAATGCACAGATCATGTTGGGCACAAAACTGAGTACACAGGTCAGGTCTGTACACTTTTAATCTTGTGAAACAAGCAATTACAAATAGTTGCATTGATTTGTTAAAAAGCTTTAGGTGACATGAATTGTTTCCAGTTTATCTTATTGCTTAGTATTATGAATGTCAGGGGGTATAATTTTAATTTGGGTCACAGAACGATCAGGGTCACTACAGGAAATGTGCAATCAAATAAATGATTAGCTCACTATCGTTAAAAACCCCCTCTGCGGAATCTGCATTTTGCTGGATTGGCAAGTTGCTCAAAAAAATATCTCTAGATGTTTTGCACAAACGTTCAGAAAATTTGTTTAGCAAATATTAGCACATGTTGTAATAGGATACAGAAGTAACTCTATACTTTGTGCATTCCTCATTAAGTTGACCCCTTTTTAAAATACACATGCTTCTTATTATTCTGAGCCCAAGTAGAAAATCCACATTTAGAGAATTTCCATTCAGTGCGGAATGTTTCTGGCACATGCACAGCTGAATAATTCAAAATACTTGAGCTGAAAGAGAACAAACAATTCAAGACTCAACAGCTGCAACGTGTCTTATTGAAAAGATCTGTTTTAAAATGGAATTTAATCAGTTTTGAAATTAAAAATACTACACAACACGAGAGGAGGGTTATTAAATTGTGTGTTTTGAAATAAATCCTTATAAACATCTGTCGCACTATAACTGTGCAATAATTGTTAATAAAATCTGATGCGAAACTGTTTTTCTTCTATTTTATTTGCATCTATTCAGTGAATGTTGATTATATGGCAGTAGCATTAGCCAACATTCCAGATAAAAACATACTAAATTCACTAGACTGCACCTGTCAAAGCAATTAGAAAATATATATATTTAGACCAGTTTTCTCTACCTTAAATAGACTACAAACACCCAATTTAATAAATTGAGGTGAACAGCACTAAAAAGGAAATCTATGTTGCCCATTAGTGATTAAAATTGTTTGATACACATATAAATTTCACCTTGAACTGATTGAAGTCCCGTACTGATGGATTGTAAACTTCTGCTAAGTTCTTGGATATCCTTTTTATACTTAACCAGCTAATACTGCTGGTTTTAGTTTGCATTTATACTGAAAACAATTAATATCATTGAACATATATTATTCACAAATGTAGAAATTACTCTGATATCAGCAAACGTTTACCTGCTACATTTGAATTCCTCTCTGCCTGCTATTTTAATAGTTAGCACTGCTAAAGCAAAGTGGCTAACATGTATATTAAAATTGCAAACAATGGACTTTTATGTGGACTTGAAAAATATTTAATCAATAATAAGGAGTAGTATCTTATAGCATTTACAAAACACTTTGATAAAACTTGACATCATGGCACAGATGATGGGATTAAATGGTGCTGTGTTTTAATAGTGTAAATTAATATTGAAAAAATCCTTTAATTAGAATGTGCAAGAGTTGTTTTCAAAAGTTAAAATCTATTCTCACTTCATTAAGTTTTATAATTATTCTCTTACAAAAGCCAGTGTGGCGCAGCTGCTCCTTGGTTATGAGCCTTATGCCAAAGAGTTTACAAATGTGCATGCAGAGTTAAGCTTACTAAAAGTTTAAAAGGAATAGGCAGTTTAGAAATGGTTATTAGTTTTAGTTTAATGTCTGTTATGCTTACAATGCATCAAATTAGGGTGGAATCTTTCAGGAATGATTAATCTTTTAGTTGGTCAAAAGTGTTTAATCAAAGTCTAATCTATAATTGTCTCAGCAAGTGGAACCTACAGAACTTTTGCAATTGGAACAATTATTGCATTTAAAATACAACACTAAATTTTCTTGTAAAAAGAAGTCCATCTAAAATAACAAGTTCCTTGGTGATTTAGCAATACCAGCAACCAGTTTTACCAGTTTATTGCTAGTATATGCGGACCCATTGTCTCTGCCTGCTACTGCCCCACTGAACTCATCTCCCCTTACCTTGATTCTCTTTCCCCCCGGTCCAGGAACTGCCCACCTACATTTGGGACATTACCCATGCCCTCCACCTTCTCCAAGACTTCCAATTCCCTGGCACCCAAAACCTCGTCTTCACCATGGACATCCAATCCCTGTACACTTGTATCCCCCACACAGCTGGCCTAAAAGCCCTCTGCTTCTTCATCTCCCGCAGGCCCAGTCAGTCTCCCTCCACCAACACCTTCATCCACCTAATGGAGCATATCTTTACCCTGAACAACTTTTCCTTTAACTCCTCCCTCTTCCTAAAAACTAAGGGGGTGGCTATGGGCACCCGTATGGGTCCGAGCTATGCCTGCCTCTTCGTAGGATTAGTGGAACAGTCCCTCTTCTGCTGTTACACCGACCCAATCCCTCACCTCTTCCTCTGCTACGTTGATGACAGTATCGGCGCTGCCTCATGCTCCCATGAGGAGCTTGAACAGTTCATCAACTTTACTTACACCTTTCTCCCCAACCTCAAATTCACCTGGACCATCTCCAATACCTCCCTGCCCTTCCTGGACCTTTCCGTTTCCATCTCTGGTAACTGTCTAAGCACCACCATATATTTCAAACCCACCAACTCCCATAGTTACCTTGACTACACCTCCTCTCACCCACCCTCCTGCAAGAATACAATCCCTGACTCCCCAATTCCCCTGCATCCGCCGCATCAGCTCCTAAGATGTAGCATTCCATTCCCATACGGATCCCAGATGTCCTCCTATTTCAAGGACCACAACTCCCCAACCACCGGTGATCAAACATGCCCTCAAACGCATCTCTTGTATTTCCTGCCCACCAACCTCCGCATCCAGCGTTTCATCCTCCGCCACTTGTGCCACCTACAATCCGATCCCACAACCAAAGAGATATTCCCCCCCCCACCCCATCTGACATTCGTAGGGACCACTCAGTCTGCAATTCCCTTGTCTGTTCCACACTCCCCACTAATGCCATCACACTCGGCAACTTTCCCTGCGGCCGCAGGAGGTACCATACCTGCCCCTACACCTCTCCTCTCACCTCCATCCAAGGTCCAAAACAAACTTTCCACATCCGACAGGGGTTCACCTGTACATCCTCCAACCTGGTCTACTGTAGCCGCTGCTCCCGATGTGGCCTCTTCTACATCGGTGAGACCAAGTGCAGACTCAGGGACCAACTCGTGGAGCATCTGCGCTCTGTATGCGACAAACAACACTACCTTCCAGTCGCTAACCATTTTAATACCCCCTCCCACTCACTTGGTGACAGGTCCATCCTAGCCATCGTCCAGTGCCACAATGACGCCACACACAAACTGGAGGAGCAGCCCCTCATATTCCACCTCATGAGCCTATAGCCTGATGGCCTAAACATAGAATTCACCAGTTTCAAAATCCCTCCATCCTTGGCCTCAACCTACGTCCAACCCTCCCTCTCATCCCCGACTCCTTGACCTGACACAATCTGTCCATCTTCTTCCCCATCTATCTGCCCCAACCTTCCCACTGACTAATCATTACTACTCCCGCCTGCATCCACCTATCGCCATCCCACCTCCCCAACCCCAGTCCCACCCTTCCTCCCTCTCGCCTCCTTGACCTGACGTAAACTGACCATCTTCTTCCCCACCTATCTGCCCCACCCTTTCCACTGACCAATCCCCACCACACCCTACTTGCACCCACCTATCACTGTCCCACCTACCTTCCCCCAGCCCTACCCATCCTCTCTCTCTTTATTTCCCAGCTCCCTTACCCCACCCCAGTTCCGAAGAAGGGTCCCGACATGAAACGTTGACTCTCTTGCTCCTCTGATGCTGCCTGACCTGCTGTGTTTCTCCAGCTCCACACTGTATCAACTCTGACTCCAGCGTCGGCAGTTCTTGCTATCTCGATCATTAATAATTGTTTTCACGAAATGGCAGCATTGTGCAAATGCTATTATTTGTTGACCGTACTTTATCTTAAGGTTCCAAATTATTTGTTCTCGCACTCGGGATGTATTTTTGAGAGCAGAATGTTACCATCCAGGTGAGGCGAGTTCCTGAGCATGTGGGGTGGTTAAAGTCTGGAAATTGACATTTGGTCATGACTCCAACATGTTCCCACCCTCTGCGTCTGGCGAGAAAGCAATTGAGATAACTGATAAAGCAATGAATTCCTTCTATTCAAGCATTTCTGTGCTTCATTGGCACCTCGCCAGGATCACCAAGGTGCGTACACACTCCAAAGTCCATCTGGAGTGGAATTAACAAGCTGTGAACACTTTGCCCAGTTACACTGATCAGCTCCAGCCATTTTCAGGTTAACAATTGCTGTTCAAAGTACTTCTCTCAGAGATTGCAATTACAACTTGACAAGTAATTGATAACTTTGTGGAAGGCACTTCATTTATGTAGCAGTTCACTGGTGTCAGCTTTCACCACAGTGTGGGAGCAGTGCACCAAGCCCTGCCTTCCACTCGATGATGTGGAAGAGCATTAGCTACTTGACTGCCATCACGTGTAGCAGTTGTGGGAGCTACACCAGCCAATGGTAACATCTATCTGCTTCTAGTCTGCATGCTCCTCCGCAGCCAAAGAGGATAAACATTGAAGGTAAGTTCTCTTGAAATGCCTCCAAAC